CATAGCTGCGAGATCCTCAACTTGACGTGTACAAGTTGAACATCTGATAAATGGTATGTCGTGAAAGTCAATGGTTGATGATGCACAACGAGCTATCAGCACTGATTAAATTACAAGTCAGGTCTCTACATACGTCATCTAAAGTGTACACACTGTGGATTTAGTTCTCTGTAGGTGTAACTCCACTGTTAGCTGGTATTGACAATGCAAATCTTGATCATGGGTGGTGGATACTGTGCTCACGTGACTTCAGTTTTGTGGTTTCTCTCGTACGAGCGTCACCATGAAAACAAAAGCAAACAGATGTTGAATAAGTGCATTCACTGTATTATTGATGCAATCAAACCGGTTGACTGGTAACATTCTAACTAGCTGTACTCTACTCGGGAAGACTGCATTTCAAATATAAAAAGGGCTCATAATAATGAAATGACTCGATGATGTTTGCCAGGACAATCTGCCATATTGTCTTCCGATGTATAGTAAAGGTATCTGCATGCAAAAATAATTGTTTATCTGCGAGGGGTCGTAAAACGGCCTAATATGGCACCATCCTTTGCCTGACTTGCAATGATGTCCAAAAAAAATCTGATTTTTCCAGTGTTTTAAAGACGGCCATTTAAGAATGAAACGGAATTGTTTATCCACTACGTTACAACAGTACACAGCCTATATCTACGACCAATATTATGGTATCTACAAGTTCCTACATTTAGCCTATTCGAGGATAACTTCTATCTATATTTTTGAATTTTGTTATCAACTGCTGTTTTAGAACAAACACAAAATCATGACGTTCATGTCTTTAGAGCAGCTGTTTATCTTTCTTTTGAATTCTTTCCTGTTATCTACATATGAGTCTTTCCTTAAAGACTTCGATGATATTTTCATTTTGAAATGCTTAAGATACTGAGATAGTATTCGTCTTATTGGAATGTAAGGTGGTCAGCATGTTTTCTCTGCTTTCTTTCTTTTCCTTTAAATAAAAAACATTAGTTATAAGCTGATATTTCTTCATTTTTTAACCAAATGACGTTGGAAAGAGGAATGGTGCGTAAGGTTCGCCGAGAGCCTTTCGCAATTGACAGTCTTGAAATACACGAGTGTACGACGCAGTGTGGGAAAATGTGGACGGAGGTTTCCCCCCAAAAATACATAGACAATGGTCTTTATTTCAGCTCATTTAACAACTATTTGGCGCTCTATGGTCCGATTAATAAATATCTATGTTTGACGACTTTAAGATATTCCTTAGTGAATCTTGGTTTGGTAATATAAAGCCCCCAGACTATGTGTCGAATATTCACTGAAGATATTTTATTATAAGATCGCTGTGTTTCGGGACGTAATGGTTTACTATATGTTAGTTTCTTTGTAAGTTTAGCATGTATATCTGCTTCTATTTCCGATTTGTATACCGCCCCTTCCATCTTTCCCCTCCTGTAAAATAATCAACTTGTGGTATCTAATTATCTACGCCCAAAAAGAGTTGAAATGATACCTTGCAGTAATGTTTTCCTTTCTTTTTAGACTTCTGATAAAGAAATTGGTCAAATGATAACAAGTGATCCAATGAAGTTAAAAACAGAAATTTTGTACATAAAGAACACGGTATTTCTATCTTTCAAGCAATATTCTTTAAAAAAAATATCGAATAAGAATCCGAATTCACCGTGCCAATCGAACGCGTTCGTGCTCGGCTCGGAGTTTTGTTGTGCCACAAAGTGACAACCCCCAATACTAAAACGCAGCATTTGTGCAAATAGTACAAAGTCCTTAAGTTCGGTATTGCTCACAAGTAAAACAGTCCACGTTAGTACATTAAACTCGTAATAGGTAGTACGAAGGTAAAATCTTACCGAAACAAACGGCGTTAAAGGTTAAAGGTTAAAGGACGCATCGAATACCTTCACCGATCACTGACCTGTACACTTTTGCTAAAATTTGACTGCATTATTTGTGCCTGCCCCGCGTTTATTGTATCGCCCTTTTTTGGTACAAATACCTGCTTTAACCTCTTTTGGAACACTTGTAATCGTTTTACACATATCCTTAGCAGAAGTCTAAAAAGTTAATTGTTGATATAGTCGATATCAAGAGGCCCCGGAGACCTGTAATCGCTCACCTGGATATTTAAGCACCCATGCATGGCATTACGATTTTTAGGGACAGTCCCTTGAGCAAATCCTTGTAGTATACATGTTTGTGTATCCAAATGTTTATGTTTAGCAATTGTGTATATTGTAATAGGGAGGGAATCTTAAATACTTCCATGTTATGACCAAGGGACTAACTATCTAAGGGTGGGAACAGACCACAAGGCCGATTCTGGTAGCATGATGGCTGTCCCTTCATGTCAAGTAATTTTATATAAGGTTATGAGATGGGGAACTAATTCAAAGTCATAACTCGGGGTCTACGTGCCCAAGGGTGAGGCCAGACCCTGTAGACATCCTGACAGAATATTTGTATTTAATATAGAACTCTTTTGACAAACCAGATATAATCATCAATGGGCACAATCACCCAACATGCGTTTATTCATTTTGGCCCAGGTCAATGATCCTGTGATGCCAAGCATTATGGATGGAGACAGTACTGCCAGCATGTCCACCCAAAGGAGCCTTTTTGCTTTACTAATTGAGGTATCCAAAATTAATCCACAATAGAAAATTTTAAAGCATTTGAAATTATGAAGCTTTCTTTTCAATACTACTTCTTTAAGAATAAAATATATATAGTTTAAACAAGACAGGGGTATTATCAGGTATTTTAGGAATAGAACCGTGCCCTTAAGGTCTCTTCACCATTCCTATCACAAGTTATTCTTAAATAAGACTCATAGGTTTGGAAATAAGTAATATCAAGTTTTGATCACTCAGTCATAGATTAACAAAGGGACTAGTCGGTCTTGAAACGTTGTGACATGTTTAGTACATACATTTTGTAAAAATGAAACTTTTTTTATTACATGTTTTTCTTGTTGTATTTTTGGGTTGTCATTTCCATATTGTGTATCAGGCATTTCAATAGTGTAGTGTAAACATAGCCAACATCAGGTAAACACTAGTATGTACATGTGTATAGTGATGATATGTAAACTACCTGATTGTAATGAAATAAGATGTTAGCACACAAGGGGGGGCATAATGTGGGAGGAAACCCGAGTACCCGGAAAAAATCCAGTAGTCGGGCATGTGACCCCATACCTTTTCACGTCAGATTGGGGAGTCAAACCCAGGTCGCCTTGGTGAAAGGCAAGTGTTGTCCACTGCACCATCCATATACTGACTCAAGGCAAGACACTCACAGGAGACCAGGTGACTTGAGAAGGTCATGTATTAAGCGTATGTGGACAGGTGTTTTTTTTGGTACCCTACTACATCTGTAGTTTTTTCACAACATATTGAAGAAATATTTGTCCGACTCATTTAATATATAAAACAAAGGACAAAAAATACCATCTTTTTATTGAAAAATGATTGCATGGTTTTGATTTCATTCACACTAATAAACATGATAATTCATCTTACTGTGAAATCAGATATTTTCGTGGGGCCAAAATTTTGTGCTTTCCCAAACAAAACACCATGTTGTGGGCCCATGAATTCGTTGATTATGAGTACCTACTTGCTCGAAGTATTGCTTTATATCGACTTGTAACTACTTGGTGGACCCATGAATAAGTGGATAAATATTATCCACAAAATCAATGAAATAGCCCTCCACCACTAGGTCGCAGGTTCGGGGCCTACGTGGGGCTGTCGCCAGGTACTGGCCGTAGGTCAGTGGTTTCTCCTCCACCACCTAAACCTGGCACATCCTCAAATGAGCATAGCTATTAATAGGACGTAAAACACAAATAAACTGTCGATTCAACAAAGCCTGCTGTGAGTGTAGTCGTCGGAAAGAAATGTAGTTAGATAGTAAGGTAATAACCCAACCTTGTTATTAGGGATTTCACAGTAATTAGATACATATTTCTTGCCAAATATTAATCTCATTCTCTCATTTAATAATGTCCTGTTTCACAGTACGATGTAATGTAGACTTGTTACATTCACACATACAAAGGAGATCATTTTATACATCATTTTCTATACACATTTGGAAGAACATAATATTGTATTTCAGTCACAAAAACATCCTTTTGAATGTTTGGTGACTTTTCTATCAACAAAACATTCTTTCTTCATTATTTATTTGTTTGAAAAAAAATCCCCCTCATGAAAAGTATACATTTGACACAGTAAATCTTCAATACACAATTCAAAATCAACGGGTGTTAAACAACATTGGATAAGAGTGAATAATTTCACAAAATTAAAACAAATTAATTTTGAAAATCTATACAATGTTTAAGCTGATTAAACTTTTACAATCACAGTTGAACATTTAACTTAATATTTCAGTTGTTCAGTAATGAATGTAAACAGGATCTTTGTTTGTTTGTTTGTTTGTTTGGGTGGGTGGGTGGTTTTATGTCTGCTTCATTACCGAGTAGTTCTGTTATCCAGTAGACGAAGAAAAGGTAGGAAAATGAGTTGAGGGACATAGTATGTATAGAGAATTAAGGGATTGAAGGGAATGATGGGAGAGAGAGAAGGAGCCAGCTATCCTACAAGTACTAAATTTTAATTCTAGTATTTGAGACATGACTCCTTGGCCAAACGTTGCCTTATCCTACCTCTGTTTGACATGAAAACACTAGTCGCTTAGCAACAACTTGCCCCCAACGCGACCGGAAGAGGAAGACAAAGCCGACGTCAATCACACCAGCTCAAGGCTAACCTGAAAATATTTGCTTAGTCTGTACATTTTGGAGTCTGTCTAAATGTCTAATAAAGTGAGACGACTCTACCTCCAGTTAACCTAAGCACTGGTTTTTGTAATTATACATACCAAAATAAGCACAAAAATGTTAAATGCAGCATGTCTCTACATGTATATATATAATACAGAATTAATCACATAGCTTTGAATAAATAACAAATAATGACCAATATTTATAGCCATTTTTTTTTGTTATTTTTAACACATCTATTTTATAAATGTATATTTGTACATATAAATACATCTTTCTTTGGAATGAAGTTTTTGAAATTCTCTTTGATCATGGCACTTGAATTATATGGATACTGCAGTGCAATCTGGGAGAAGATTTGAGCTGTTGGACAGGCCCTTGATGACTATTAGGAGATCCATGCTGAGATAAGTCCTGCGATCACCTGTCTGGCCTTGGTTAGTTCAGCAGGATCGGAGTCTGTGGCAGGGTACATGTTAGCACAATGGGCTGTTCCTGGAAGGATAACAAATGAACAATGTTGTCGTTAGAATTATCTCCCTTCATTCCCCATGTATTATCCAATGAGAATCTAATGTTGTGATTGGCCAATTTTAGTCCATGACCCAATTTTGTAATAGGTATTTGATCTGCAATGTTTATGACTCCAATGTCAAAATCAAAAGAGATCTTCACTTTGATGACATTATAAATGCCGAGGCACCATTTGTTCACAGCTTGCAACACCACAATGATTGTCAATTAAGAATTTGTCTCAGGGAGACGTTGGTATGTATTGACACACTGTTTGAGTTGAGGATCTCGTCAGTATAATTAAAAAGTTAAAAACTCCTGTTGGAGTCAATATGGTGAAATGACCCCAAAACCAGGTACAATCTTAGTGATGTGAACCTGTCTAAACTGAACAAGACAGATTCTGTCTGAAATAAACACCACTGATACCTGTATAAACTGAACAAGACAGATTCTGTCTGAAATAAACAACACTGATACCTGTATAAACTGAACAAGACAGATTCTGTCTGAAATAAACACCACTGATACTTGTATAAACTGAATTCACCATGTCCATTCAGAAATATCATAGATTTAAATGACAAATGTCCAATTTATATTAACACTGCAAATCTTTACAGAATGTGACCCCTCTATATGACCCCAAAACCTAAAATTATGATTCTAAGAAAGACTTTTCCTCAATCTTAATGATAAGATATCACACCTTCTCCTCCAAAGGTTTCAAATTAAAGAATACAGATTGCAAGATTTTATTAATATACTAGCGTGTCTGTCCATTTGATATATTTTGTTGTTTTGGATAAAAATGATTATAATCTTCAGTGAAATATAAACATATATATCACTTTGTGCAACTTTTACAGAAACTTACCGTCAATATAGACAGCTGTAGACCCGGCCACAGAATCGTCGATGATGCCAAGAGCATGCCAGGGGTCAATCGATCCATTTGGAAATGCGACCTTTGTGACCTTGATGAATTCTCCTCCGTAATTTGTGTTTGTTCGGTTGACCCCACCCTGAATGAGGTCACGGTCAAATTTGGCCCCGAAGATGTCAATACATTGCTGTATTGAAAAGCTATATAAAAAAAAAAAAAAAAATATCTTAACAAGCGATTAGTGAAGAAAATATTAATAAGGAAAATACAGTTAAAACATGTCTAATCTGACTCAAGACTGCATATTCAATCATTCTGCCTAGTCCAACATGATGTTGGGATTCCACTTGTAATGAAAAGTACCAAATATTTCATTATCTTGTCAAATCTGACTAACAAGACTTAGAGTACTCCAGGGTGGAACAACATACGTCCGTCCCATACCAATCTAACATATTTAAAATCCTTCTGAAGCATTACTGTATCTAAATGAAGAAACATTTGTACTGTTTATACATATTTGTTGGAAGGTTTGCCTCTCCCCGTAAAACCACAGTTATTCTATTTTCTTGAGAAACACTTCACTGATATAAATAACTTGTTATATTCCAACACCTATGTATTGTAAATTCTAAAGGCTTCCCTATCCCCTGATCATGTCTGGAAAAGTGTTGTTCAATGGAACCAAATGTTTGCTGCATTCTGAAAATTACCTACTAAACATTTGAAATGGTACGCAATTTAAAAAAATAATAAAAATATGAAGTTGCTTTTTTCCAATTGATATCTCTTGCTTACTTTAAGGGGAAGAAGCTGCCAAAAGGTTGAGTTTTGTTACTCAAGTCGGAAGACTGGAAGAAAGCAAATTCTGTACATGTCTGGTATGTCCACTGCCGACCTGGAATACATAGAACATATGATTAACATGGATCATGGATTGGAGTGAGACGAAACTGATTTTACTGTGAAATCAGATATTTTTGTAGGGCCCAAATTTCATGGTTTCCTGAAAAACTACGATTTTGTTGGTACATAAATTCGTGGATTACGAGTATCCTCACGGCTCACACTCACATGGAGAAATGCTTTGTGTCAAAATTATAGCTATTTCTTGGACCTATGAATTCATGGATGATGATTTCCCACGAAATCAACAAAATTAAAAACCCAACAAACATTAGTTATTTCACAGTAAATACAGTGTCACTTACTAAAAGGCATATGTCATCTACTGATATTTGATAAAAATATGTATATTTAGTATTTGCAGTAAGTGTTTTTTGTGTTAAGTTGTGATTACAAATACATCACAACAATGTACATGTGTTCCCAATACAAACAAAGAACATATTCGGTCATTATTCCATTCAACATGAGGCCCAATGGGCCTGCATCGCTCAACGGGTATTTTTCTCTCACAGTTGTAACCTTAAAAGTGGACCCAGGTCAGATATATTTAAATGGACAGAATAAAGCTGCAGGCAAAATATTATTATCTAAGATTCCTGGTATTTTAAGAAAACCTATTAAAAGATTTCAACAAATTGGCCCTGGTTAACTTGAGGGTCTGCTTCCACTGGGGATCTAACCCTTGATCCAAGACTTCCTAGCAAGAGGCTCTACCACTGAGCTAAAGGGAAATTCCCTCTTGCACAAAGCTAGAAGGCGACAATAATTCTATGTACAATTTGAATCCGCCACATTACGATTAAAGATGGCCGTCTGTCCACCACCAGACCTACCTCCTTCCCCAGCACTGCTGTTCCAGGAAGTCATCTGGAGATCTTTTATCATGGCTCTGTACTTAAAGTCCAGACATTTTTCTGAGTATGCAGCAAGGATCATCTTGTTGACTTTGGCGTATCTGTCTAGAGGGTCCCCTACAGACACGTCGTCCATCACCCCACAGAGTGTGTCCACTGTTATGTTAGTCCCCACAGCACCCTAAACACAAATAGGTGGCACCATATCCATTAAGCTAACAAAACTACATGTCCAGGCGTGTAAGAAAGGGAAATTCCACCCTTGGGATTTCAAAATGTTGCGAAACCTTGGCAAGTCTCACCCAATTTGAAAACCCCTTGGGTGGAATTTCCTATCTTACACCCCCTGGGAATGATAGATTCTTATACCTGTTATGTTTTTGGAAGCTTGGGGGAACATGACTTAAAAGTGATTTTGAGTGAAAAAGAGGGACATTTCTTTTCCAAAATAGTGACAATTAAAAACGACAATGATTCTGATTTTAGATCTTATCTTACTTTTATTTTTTATTATATTCTTTTGCATTTTTCATAACATTTTTTGTATAAAACTGCAGAAAAGAACTTCGTTATTACTGTATACCAGGACATTTTCGCTGTAGTCTAATAATTGTCCTTTTCGCCCCTATAATGAGGGCGCATTTATCATTACAGCGAGCATTAGTAAACAACATAATATGCATAGAAATTAAATTAGAAGTGTGAATTTAATGTCGGGCGAAAATGGATTTTAATGTCGAATGGCGAAAATTTGACAGCTAGTATACAGTATTTCAATATCCTTGCATCCCTTATACATGAGCATTGCAACATATAAATAAATATTGTACACTACAAACAAACAAAATTCATCCCTGAAGACACATTTGAACTCTTCCAATTCAAAGGTTGGAATAGTTCATTATGAAATTTCAGGGGCAAATGAGTTAAAACATTTACCTCAAATGCTCTGTTGTCTTTATTATACTGGACAACGCCCTCAAAGTTGCCCACCAGACTGCTCACCAGACTGGCAACATCTAACTGGTAGTCAGGGTCGCTGAGGTCAAGGTCATCACACATGCTGGCAAAGGGGAAACAAGGTTTATAACACATAGAAACAAGGTGGTTTTTTTTAACACATGAGGACAAATAGGAAACTACCAATATCTAGGTTATCTTACAGATTATATATAGAAAACAAGGCTAACAGTTGCAAGGCAATCCACAGTCCCCCACCGGTAATGATTTCTTTATTTACCATGCTGTACATCTATCTCAGGATATAGGTCACAGTGTCAAACTTCTTTAATCCTCACTCCACCATTCAAGACATACTTGCATGCAAAATCTAGTTACTCCAGGTGAAATAGTTTTGAAAATATACCCCAGCCAAATTTTGTTCAAAGGTTGAGGTCAGAGGTCAAATCATAGGTCACAGTGACCTACTTTGTGTGCAAGACACTACGCCATCCCAAGATATACTTGTGCACTTAATCTGGTTACTCCAGGTGAAATAGTAACATAAACATTTGGCAAGGTCATCAAACATGCTATAGATCCCTGAAAGGTCTTTGTGCCCTTCATTGTTAGATATTCATCAGTTCTATGTAAGTTTGATCCTTTCTCTTATCTTATTGGTGACACTTACCCTTCTGGAACACCTGGTCTTATTCCCCGTCGTTCATATTTTGCCCCAGTCAAACCATTGCAAATAATAATGGCACTTGAATAAATGGTAATTAAATGGAATTATTTTAATGGCATTTTCTTTTGCAAAGGGGTGGGGAATATAAACTCCACAAATTTTCTTGTTCTTTTTTGTCTTGACACACCTTCCAAATGTAGAGTTAATAGTGTTAGGTTTCACATACAAGTTTCCTACGTAAAACAAGAGAGAATGTTAAGCTAGAGAAACAGACTTACTTAAACATAGTTTTGAGTGACTTTCGGCCGACGTCAGACTGTAGTTTGTTCTGTAGACTATCCGTAGCGGCGGCCACGTTTTTATTACAAGTTTGACCGGATGTTGCCAAGGCATTGGTCACTACACCCAGGTATTCTACACGAAATAAAAAAAACAAAAATCATTGTCAAACATTATTATAAATATTAACACAAGTTCATTTAAAATTCCTTCAAATATTGCAATGGAATTTTGGAAAATTATGACATGGTAATTTAACAAATTATAATAGCATTACATCAATTCATGATTTGAGTTAAGGACTCGCACAACTAAATCAGCCAATTAGCAAGTGTTTCATACAATTGTAATCCCTACCAATAAACTGGTCTGGATAAATACAGTGCTTCTGAGTAATTTAAACGTGTAATTGTTGACAGATTCTTTTATTGAATGAAATCTACATGATATTCAACTTTGGAAAAATGTATAGTTTTAGTAGATTTTAATATGCGGATTTGTGGATATCCAGATTTATTTTAGGTCAAAACTCAGAGGGTGTTACTGTCTCGCTTCATCGGTTTGGCTTGTAAACCATTTGTCAAAAACAGAAGCCTGTAGCCCTCTTATATGTATATGCCACTAAACCTGCCAAAAAATGCCATTTGAAGCCTTTCAACCAGCTGAACTTGAAATAAAAATGACAGGCACAGATCAGGATCAAGACTGTATAGTTGACTCCTGTACAAAAATAAGTCCTTCATATCTCACGAATAATTTGTTCTTGACTTATGAGGAGAGTGCATGTTTCAAATGCAAACATGAATATTTAATGAGATGCATAAATAAAAGTATAATATACTTATTGGTAGTTTTGCAACTTGAAGTCCTGTTGAAAAATCGTTCAAATCAAGTTTTTGTATTAAAATTCCCTACAGTTACCATCGGAAACTTACCATAAAAGTTGAGCACGGCTCTAATTGGGGCGCTGGAGGCGACGGCACCGTCTACTAAGTGTGGGTACTTCAATCTGAACCAGGCTGACAGGGAACCTAGAAGACATTATAAGCAACATAACAGGTAATTCATGTTTTAAGTAGTACTTGCTCACAACAGTCAATTGTCTTTAAGATTGAAAGTTGTGGTGGAAACATAATTATTTTTTTATTTCATTTTTTAAGCTTTTGTAATCTAGCAGTACAGGGACAAACTCTGCAAATACATAAATTAATGTCTTGAATGTGTTTTAAAATTTAGTATATCTCTTTATTTCTCTTTCAAAAACATGTACTTTATTTTTGCTACAGTTTAATTTTCACTCAATTTAATAAGGACGAATTTATCATTACAGCGAACACAAGTAAACTACATAATACACATAGTAGTAAACTGTGAAGGGCGAAATTAACACTGTTTGACTGGGTGAAAATTTGTATAAAGTATAAAATTATAACTGTATTGTTGGTCTTTATGTTACTGCAAAGAGTCCAGCCATTGATTCAGCTTAGGATTAAAGCAGCTTTACGGGTCAATCAGGTGTATGATTGCATCTTTTTGAAAAATTCTTCTTATCTGACTTATACTTTCAAGAAAATATAATTTTTATTAGCTCTTGCATATCGTCTACTAGCCTATGCATCACCCGAACCGAATTACATATCCCTGATCCTTACCTCCGTTGATCATGATAAATCAATACATTTTTTTGGTCTTAAAAGAATAATAGAATTCTTCAATAATGGTTTCCACAACAATTATTTTAAATTTGTTTTCTTTTTCTTTAAATCAACCCGATAGTATCGGTTCTGCTGACAGTCTCCCAGCCCTTTACCTTTGTAACAGGGGCAGAGAAATGCAAGGTTTGAACCCGGTACCTGGCTTCCAAACTCCAGAAGGGAAATTATCCTTTGACAATGCTACATGTTACATACCTGGATAAGACCCTCCAAATGTGATCAGTTTGTTTTCTTGTAATCCAAACTTCTGTCTGGCATAAGTAATAAAATAGGCCAAGTCAGCCAGGGCCTGTTCACTGCTCAGGAATATCATGTTACCTGTTCCCATATCACTGAAACACCAACAGGTCAGTCACAAACATGCATACAAGCAACTTGAGGGTACCCAAAATGGAACCCTTTTCATATATATGATGCAGCATTTTCATTTTACAGCACAAATAAATGGTATTTATTCTTAATAAAATTTCATGTACTTTTAAGCAATTTGAACATGTTTAGTCTGCATACCTCTTATATTTTACTCATAACTCAATAGACAAAAAAGAATGAAAAAATATCTCAGGAAATGGTATGGTACATCAACATCAATATCCTATCACATTTCTTAACACAGAAATGTTTTTGTTCAAATGAATATTTTAATGAACTATTGACTTAAGTTTATCAGAAAGTGTCTAAATACTTTTAAAGCTGTCAGTTATTTTCATAAACTGACCTTTATGACGAGGTGTTCCTTTTTGTGCACCCCACAAGCTAATTTTTCCACGTGAACCTGACTCAACTAAATAGACATGTGTGCTGGTGATACCCAAGATAGACATAAAATGAAAGCTGAATGCTACTACTTGACATTATTTTCCCCCAGAGTCAAATTTATAAATCATGTTCTTTAATGTTTTCATATTTAATTTGTTTGAAATAATTCTTCAAATTACTTCATAAGGTATATTTCATAGGCTTTTTAGCATGAAACTTATTTGTTTAGAAGATGATTGTCAGAGTAATAAGGTAGCATATATCCCTCCACCAGCTTGACTATAATGTCTGTAATTGCTATCAATTATTTCCTTACTTTGTAGGATGACTTTTCCCATAAAATCTGTGTTCCAGTTGAAGACAAAAAGCATTGAATTTCTGGGCATAGTCGATCCATGCACCTTCAACCATCCAAATTGGATCTGCTGTTCCTTCCCCGCCAATCATCACAAATATTGGACCGCCTTTCTTGTAGAATGTGTCATTAACAAAGTATCTCTGAAATAGACAAACGATTAAAAAATGTATTCTTAAAAAACCTGTTGATTCGTTATACATATATATGCCAAAAAAAAAGTAATGAAGAATTTCAACTACTTGACTCTTTCAAAGTCATTCATTTCACATCAGTGATCATCAAAGATGGTCAAGGTCAAATGAATTGAACTAAACATAACTTAAAACATTATGAGTCTTGATTGGAAGATTTTCTGACTATATCTATTGAAAGATTATTATTGGAAGTTAATATTTTACTAATCTGATCTTCAAAGCTGATTGGCCTAGCTAGGTTATCAATTCAGAAACCACACTTCATACAACTTTACACCAAGTTAAATGCCAAACATCATGACCTTAGGCTCTTGGTTATTCATCACTTAGAAGTTGCATGACTATAGCTTTCATAAATCATTTCTGAAAAGAAAACTATATCTTGCGAGACTTTTGCACAGGAGTCTGAAAATCTGTCAAAAATTAATAATAACAGTAATCCAAAAACATAACTATAATATGCTTAAATATGTAGCATATTATAGGATTTTTTTTGTATTACTGTTATTATTATTTTTGACAGATTTTCAGGCTCCTGTGCTTTTGTGAGAAATAATAGAGATGGAAAAAAATGTGTATATTTTGTTCCAAAATGGTTAATTACAACTCTGTATATATATGTTATAATTTGTGTTGTGTTGACAAATTATAGGGTGGTGTAACACTAGAGTGAAATCTGTTCACAGACTCGGGAATTTCTGTTCACTGGCCCGAGCTTGACCAGTCCGTGGGGGTCACCTCTCTCATCTGCATATGGCTCCCATTGGTCAGTCTTATCAGGTGGTTTTGAGTTAGCGTCCATTAAAATTTTCTTCAATCTCTTTTAAGATCCCGAGATGACAAGATCGTTTTTTATTTGTCTTGAAAAAAAAATCTTACAACGGTGTCTCTATGATGAGTCTAGAGGAATGGTCTGTGCCAGACGATGAGTTTGCCTCAGATGCCTGTTTATCAGGCTGCGGTGGTTTTTTCAAAGGGCAGAGTTTTCATACCAAGTTCCCAGATTTTATCCTTAAGCAGGATCTCAGTATTAACTGCCTGGAACTACTCACAGTAGTGGTATGTGCAAAGTTATGGGGACATAAGTGCAGAGGTAAGAAAATTGTCATTAATTGTGACAATAGTGCCTCTGTGGCGGTCATAAACTCGGGGAAGTCTAGGGTTCCTTTTATGCAAGCATGTCTTCGAGAGATAAGTTTTCATGCTGCAATTCATGAGTTTGAGTTAAGAGCCAGTCATATCGAAGGTGAATCAAACAGGATACCTGATCATCTTTCGAGATGGCATTTGGACCCATCTCATGGAGACAAATTCCATGAACTGACCAAAGGAATGGAAATCACAGTCCATCCCCTGGAACAAGATACCTTTAAATTCTCCCATATATGGTAATTGATAGGGGAAAGGTTTGACAGTGTATCATAAAATGTACAGAATTGTTTGTTTTAGTTTTATAGTCCATACCTTATTATTGTAGGGGCAGCCTTTAAGAAGTTAGAGGATGATTTAAAAATCTCCATGAAGGCGGCCTTTGCATAAGGCACTTCCAGAAATGTAGAGATACAATGGCGGGCCTATTTTCTGTTTTGCGAGGCATTTCAGCAGGAAGCCTTACCAGCCAACACTCGGACAATATGTTTATATATCCAATTTTTGAGCTGAAGCTTGAAAAGTTCTGATTCTATACGTAACTACATTAGTGGGGTGAAAATGCTTCATATTTTAACTGATACTGATTATTCAGAAGTCCGGCAGTTTGAGGTCAATCTTGCCTTAAGAGGTATAGCCTGTCTCCATCCCCACTGCCCAAACAGAGCCTCCCCCATCACACCACATATTTTGTTGGAAATTTCCAAGTTCATAGATTTTTCAGACCCTTTACTAGCGACCCTGTGGTGCAGTTTTTTGTTTTCCTTTTATCTAATGATCAGAAAATCCAATATCGTAAGTACGAATGGGGTTTTTAAACCAGAGGAAATTTTATTGAGGCAGGACATCACAGTTAAGGGAGACATGTTATTGATCTGTTTGAAATGGTCCAAGACTAACCAATTTGGTAAACGAAAACATATAATCCCACTCGTTAGGATTCCATCCTCTACCTTATGTCCGGTTCTAGCCTTTTACAACATGTGTGACTTAGTCCCAGCCCCAGTAACTGCCCCAGCCTTTTCCGTCCCGGGTCACCCACCGAAAGCTATTTCGTACTCTTTATTTCAAAAGTCTCTGAAACAGTTACTTGTCCAAACGGGTAGGGATCCAGCTCCTTTCTCATCCCACAGTTTTCGTCGGGGAGGGGCCACATGGGCCTTTCAATCAAATGTCACAGGGGAACTTATACAATTGCAAGGGGATTGGGCCAGCGACGCGTATAAAGTCTACCTTGACCACTCACTAAAACAAAAAATGCAGGTAGCCAACTTTGTAAAGCATTCCATTATTGCCTTTCAAGCAGCACATGACACTGTTCCAAGTTAAGATCATAATAGGAAATCACAGGTCTTCGATAAGCCGGGTAGATATTGTCCTCCTTTTTGGGGCCGGGGGCTTGGCGGTTAAATTTATGTTAAATTATGCTAATTCATCGCATGTCACTTGTATTTGTTGCTAGATGTGCTTGTGTATGTACAGTATATTTGTATCATTATTATTTGTCAAGATTTGGTAAACTATACTGATATTATTTGCTACTAATTCGCTATAATGTGAATTTGACCAATTGTGTATATATAATATTTAACTACTGTTTGATAAATTGAATGCTGCTTGCTTAATTGTTCCGGAAGTGAAGGTTGCCTTTTAGTGCCGGAAGTGAATGTTGCTTGCTAGTGCCGGAAGTAAATGTTATATGCTCATAGTGCCGGAAGTGATTGTTGCCTGAATTTCTGTGTAGCCCTTTCACCCCAGTCAAATTTATGACAGTGAGTAATGGACTTGCAAATGGACTAATTAAAGTTTGATCCGGGGTGAAAGGGCTTTTTGTATACATATATGTTGTTGTATTATCAATAAAACGGCCAAAAATCATATAACTGCTGTCTTTGTCATATATATATATATATGGGGAAGTAATTAGGATTTCTTACTATATCTTCTACTTCTACCGTATACTGACCTACTTCATCTAGTTGATCAGAGATTTGTGAAGGAAAAGGATGGGAGAGTGACATAACCAGGATAAAAAATAAATAATATTAAGCAGATAGAAGGTTAGAAGGAGTCAGTTGTCTTACAGCAACAGGAATAAACTGCCCTCTGTAATACACTCTACGGTAGCAGAGGGCAGTTTATTCCAGTCACAGATAGTTTTTGGGAAGAAGGATTGTGTCTACAGGAATGAAGTGTTTGGTATGAGTATAAGTGAGAGAATCTGGTCTGTCGCATTTGGGGTGTAAGATACTCCTATAATATGAGAGGCCGCTGGTCGGCCTTTTTCTATCGGATATGATTTTGCCGACGCGGCACCTGTCAAAAGTTTTTCGCCGTGTAAAACCTCTAACATTTTTGGAGTAGGGTGTAAGAGTGTTCTGCTGGACTGAAACTAAGTTATAAATGGCATGTATTTATGCTTGCTACCACAAGAAAGGGTTAATAAAGAGCATGTGCACAAAAATTCATGTATTGATCCCGTAAATCTGCCGAATGCAGTGTTTGAACAAAAAATGATCCGATACTAGGCAGATGCTTGTATAGCGTGCAGAGTTGCTGTTTTTCACCTGTTGCCAAGTCGTTGTGTCAGCATCATTGAAGTGGTCCAATCTTTGTGTAACCCACATATCAGGAGGAAGCGCATGGAACGACTTTACCATTGGCCTTCCCAACATTCCACCCTTTGGTCTCCCTCGGTGGAACTTCGGAATATATGCATATGTTCTGCAGATGCCGCATACTAACAAAAATACCGCTATTTTGATTACATCTGCCATCTTGTATTGTCACATGATCTAATAAAGTCACATGATTTGAACATTCGTAACACTTTCGGACTTTATTACCCGATAGTAGAGAAGAGAGTATTGCAAGGTCATGCGGCAGTCATGTGATCAAACGGCGGGAAATAACAGCGTGGTCACAGCGTTCATCACAACACAAACTCAAGATGGCAACACAGTACGAAAAGTTAAGACAGAAGAATTTAGAAGATAACAGGAGGATCTTAGCAGAGATCGGATTAGCAAACCCTGTAGGTTTTATTATTTGTTGATTTGTTATTAATATTTTCTTAAAGTATAATCAAGCAGAATTTAGAACGGGCCATCATGATCAGAAACTTTTCGAAATAGATACATTTTGAACGGAAGTCTGCATAATCATTCAGTTTTGGTAAATATATATCACGACGACGGTGACATGAACTAATAAACGAATCGGGGCATTGATGATTGTAGAATAAGCATGTTGCGGCAACAAATACGAATTAAAACTAGTGGGCGGGGCACTTATCTTGCCAAAAAATGGCCAAAATATACGAAAAAGAAAGCAATAATATCAGAGACGTATAATACATGTAGTATACGTCTCTGATAATATATACAATATTTTAAACGAACTGACGGCTGGACGATGGTTGATTTCCTGTATCCAGATATCCATATAAATTATAAATAATTCAGAAATAATCAGCATAAGGGTTAGTGAATTGTTTCTACACGTCTGCAACTATGTATCAGGAATTTTAATTGTACAGAACTTTCACTTTTAAATCAACACTAAAAGCGTTAGTGTGAACTTTTATCTTTAAAAACTTGTCACCAACAAATATGCGCATACCATGATAAAGTATCAATGACAACAAGATATAGGACAGTCTCACAAGTCGAAGACTTACAACGACTGGAAGAACAGTGCGAATATGTCATGATTGTGCATGTATTATGTGGGAATATAAATTATAAAGAGAGTGAGAAAATTTTGGAAAAATAAGTGCCAAAATTGTTAATGGCCTATATTTATAGCTAATTATTTATTCCACAATAATATATACAAGTATTTTGATAATATCTATTCTAACAATTAAGCTGTATTAAAGGCTTTTCTGTGCGACATGTGTGTGAAAGGAACAATTTGTTTCAAAAATATCAGTTTGAAGAGCGACCCTGGCGCGGATCGCTTATTTCCCGCATATTATAGAGGGCCGGAGTTCTGACGTTAATCGACAACAGACCGATATAAAAAAAGTCGATAAAAAGTCAGAATAATTCGGACTTAATGATATCATTACATGAAATAATCTTTGTTTTACAGTTTAAAGGTTTGCCAAAGGTCTCCCTCAAGAAGGGTGTCTTTAACAGAGCTAATAAAAGAAAACCAGTGAATTATTCTGCTCCTCCTGCCAAAAAGAGGATTGTAGAAGATCTAGAAAATACTGGATCCCTGAGAGGCAGTAGAAGGAAATCTGCCCGAATTCAAGGAAAGGTAATCAAGCTATTACTCTCAGTGGGCTTATTAAGTTGAATACAGTGTATCACAGATTTGCTGAAACCATTCAGGGATGTTCATGATTAATTTAAGGTAGGCTCGCACGTGACGTATGATATGGTTAATAACAATTTTAAGTCGATAAATCACAATACTCCCACTAATTATTTATGATTCTGCATTTATAACTGGGTAGTATATATATATAATAATATTTGTTAAATTATATTTTGTTCATAAACAAAACAAATATGTTAGGTTCCTCCCCTCCATTTCTTCATTTCGGAAGATAAAGCTCGCTTTTTACTAGAAGATGCAGTCTGTCTTTGGGTGTAAAACTAAGCAAAAATAAAAATAAATCACCGACACTGAACCAGGTTTCCTTTATTTAACTGTTTCACATGTACAGGTCATGCATGGAACATGATACCATGTGCCATGTGCTGCAAAATTGGCCATCCATTTAAAACTCGTACACCTCAGCTGATACTAGGCCTGGTGGTCAATGATTTAAGACCAGTCATTGATTAAGATTACTGTAGGTATTTTTCTCAATTAATTTGCTTCTTCAACCCACCCTCATGTATTGTCTTTACTGTGTTCAGGAAGTTCCCACAAAGGAGGAACTTGAGGAGGAGTTAGAAGAGTGGGAGGAATCCGAGAACCATCATCGCCCAGTTGCGAAAAATAGGCCCAACTTTTATGGCGCTGTGGAAGGCAAGTTATTCCATAAGTAACATGAAATCAGGGTTCACGCCAGCAGTGCAAAATGCAAAAATGATAATTCAGGAATACAAATACTCCAATGTTTTACGGTCATTTTCATTTTGGTCTTGAAGCAACATTCTGACATACATGTCTTTGAGCAACGGGAAGGACAACAAACGTAGATGTACTTTTGACTTAGTTCTAGTAGTGAAGTAAATTTGGTGGGTGTTGTCACACACCATCACTACATGTAGCAGGGAACTGCTCTCAGGTCCCAAAATCTGTTAGAAGGAGGAAGAAATTCCCTCACCTGTGTTCTGGTTGAAGTCGGGGTGTTGAGAGACTGAGCCGTTATGTCACATCGAGGTTGTTGACACAGTTAGTGGTCTAAGGGAGATAGTTCTCCCCAAAATTCAATACAGTAGTTTGTAGGATATCATGTTGTCTTTCCTTTTGTTTTGCTGTCCCTGTTGTATTTATATATTGAATATATATGGTTCTCGAGTGTAATGATATTTGAATACATGTACATCACTAATAAATCAACAAACGAGTCCCGAGTCCTATACTCCTAGAATTTTGATGGGACTCCTAGAATTTCTGGAAATAATTAAATTGAACATTGTGGAACCCATTCTTTTAAGCAATGAAGTTATAAAAGACACATGAAAATAAATTGTAGTTTGATCACTGTACATGAATTGATTTCTATTTTATATCGGTTAGTCGGTTACATTTAATGTAGTTGGATAACTCTTTTCAGATGTGGAAATAGGAACAGTGTGGGAAACCCGCATAGAGGCATGTAGAGCAGGTATTCACAGGTAAGTGTTTGATGGCAGGTATAGGCAGGTAAGTGTTTTAGGGCAGGTATACACAGGTAAGTGTTTTAGGGCAGGTATACATATAGGCACAAAGTAAGTTGTTTAGAACAGGTAGGTCCACAGGTATTTTAAGTCTTACATCTTGTAGAGGACGTATGAGCACAAGTAAATCTTGTACGGAAAATGAACACGGTTCCAAGAAATCTGCCAATCTGTCATTAATGGCAGCTGCAGTGGCAGTCATGATTCAGAATGTAAGGCACAATTTGCCTGTTCGGTGCTGTTTTATGGCACATACAAAACTAAAATCATTTTGGGGCAACAGCACTGCAGCATGCATATAGTTCAAATCAGAAATTCAGTAAAACTCTTTCAAATTTACCATACTCATAAAATAACTGATGATATTTTCATCCTATGAATACCAGTTTTCTAACCCTTGTTAATTTGTATTTTGTTTTCGTCCATTTTTTTCGGACAAGTCAAGAGTTGATTTGGAAAAGTGAAATTTGGTTTCAACTTGCCTGCCCGTCAGGCAAGCACTTTAAAAGTTAATGTCTAGCCCAGGTTGATATTTTTAACTGTCCAAAAGGAGGTACCTTGGAAGTCTTTTTCACATAATACTTGCTGTGATTATGTTGAAGACAGATATCTAACAAAGCCAAAGAATTTTTGACATCTGAATAATTCAAATGGCCTAGAGCCAGAAGCTGGCTGCATCATGGTGCTAGGAAATTTGTGAAAATAAAGGCCACGTAAAACAGATGAGCATCTTCAGGCCCCATGGACCTCTTTTATCAAATATCAAGTTGATCCATGGTTGCAAATGGCAGGCGTTAATAAAACTGTAATTCAAAATAATTGCCATTTACTTGATTTCAGACCAACGGTAGCCGGGATCCATGCCGGACCAGATGGAGCTTACTCGATAGCTCTGTCCGGGGGTTACGACGACAACGTGGACCTTGGAGAGGGTTTTACCTATACTGGGGAAGGTAAGTAGTAAAGAGGAGGGTAAGGGTCACCTACCTCAGGGAGACGAGTGTAGCCTTCGTCATCACAAGTGAGGGATTGTTAGCTCAGATGTGGCAAAAAATATGTGTGGTCAGGGCCTGTATTCATAAAACTGTTCTCAAATTCTGTGCTCGAGCCCAATTTCTTGTTTTATTTTCACTTGCAGAAAACTACTTTTCTAGGTCCCCTTGGATTCATTATAAGAATATTCTATACATTTAAACTTAATATTTGTTCTATGATTCAGAGGAATTCTGGAGAAACTTCAAAAGAAGCAGAATACCGTGTTAAATATTATGCACAACAGTTTTAGCTCACCTGGTCCGAAGGAGCATGGTGAGCTTATGCCATACCGCAGCGTCCGTCGTCTTGCGTCTGTCGTCCGTCAACTTTACACTACTAGTCATGAACCACTGAGCGGATTTTAACAAAATTTGGTGTTGAGCACCCTTGGGGGGAGAAGACCCAATTTTTTATAAATGGTGGGTATGGCCCCCCAGGGGCCTGAGGGGCGGGGGCCAAATAGGGGAAATATAGCAATTTCTTCTTTAAAATCCTTCTTCTGTAGGAATGAAAGGATTTGTTCCATATTTGGTGTGGAACATCCTTGGGTGAAGGGGATCCAATTTGGTATAATTTTTGTATAAACGGTGGGTGTGGCCTTCCTGGGACCTGAGGGACGGGGCCCAATAGGGGAAATAGAGGTAAAACCTTTATAATCCTTCTTCTACCATAGGGATTAAGGGATTAGTCTGGAGCTTCCTTGGGCCAAAAGGACTCAATTTTGTATAATTGATGGGTAAGACCCCCTAGGGGCTTAGGGGTGGGGCTCTGTTTGAAGTTTGTTCTCACTATATCTCAAGTATTGGATGGATCTTTCTGAAATTTCATATGACAGCACCTACCATGGAGTGCTATATATTTACTTCATACCAATTATTTTAAACATATTCAGATGAGCGATACAGGCCCTCTGGGCCTTTTGTTATGATTTTGCATGATTTAAGCGAGTTACAAGTAAGTCAGTTTGAGCACAGAATCTGAGTTTGAGCATGAGAACAGTTTCATGATATAGGCCCTGGAACTGGTGGTAGAGGAGGGGGGGGGATCTTGTTGCCCCCTTTATCTTAGAATTGGAAGAGACAGCGTGATTTAACCATGAGATGATACAATATCTCCGCCATCTTTCACCAGCTCCCAACATGACAGGATGTAAACAATCACATGTTGAGAAAGACACATTTAATGTTATTGTTGATGGGATGTGCAGTGTTTAAAAAAAAAAAAAAAATGCAAAACAAAAAAATTAACTTCGAATTACTGTTTGTATAAATCTGATATACATGCGTATAAAAAAAACGGTGGTTGAGAGATTGTCATTGTAAAAATTTGACTTAGTGCAGTGCAGTAACGAATTACCTGGGCTCTGGTCAGATTTCACTTTTTTGGTCTTGAACTGTATCATTTCATTGGAGTTATACAATATTCCCTCTTTTGATCTGATAGTGGGGGAAATATACATGTTGTAAAATATGTCGCTTTTCAAGCTCCAGAAAAAGAATATCTATCTGACATCTATAAAAACAGTAGTTTCTGATGTTTTAACACAATTTAAAGATCATATTTTATTTTCTGTTTAAATACTTTTCAGGAGGAAGAGACTTGAAGGGAACTAAAGCCAACCCTAAGGTAAGAACTAGCATTAATGACAGCTGTGTCATGTCCTTAGCCCTTTTAAAAATGTCACATTTCCTTAATAAAACCAACCGTATCTTTTTAAAGAGTTTAGATTAGCACTAACCAAAAGCCTTGTCCTATGTATACAACTTGTGTGAAAATATTTAATAGATTAAAACACATTCCATTAATTACTGGCCCAGAATATTTCTGAAAGTCAAACTACAACGTACACGTTATATTGTATGTTTGTTATTTTCTAATACAATATACATTTATCCATGGAGTTGAGTTGTCTAGAGATTGACGATGGATGATGCGAGGATATGTATAGATGTTTTTCGCTGTGAGGTCATGGAGCGACCGTTGATCTCCAGTAGGGCTGCGATGATTTCTGCAGAGTTTGGTAAAAATTGATGGAGAACTTCAGTACCGTTAGTGTATCCCGATACTTAGTGTATCCCGATACTTAGTGTATCCCGATATCCCGATACTTAGTGTATCCCGATACTTAGTGTATCTCGATACAGGCAAACAAACAAAAGATGATACAATACACAAGAAAATATCCCGATACCGGCAAACAAACAAAAGATGATACCATACACAAGAAAATATCCCGATACAGGCAAACAAACAAAAGATGATACAGGCAAACAAACAAAAGATGATACAATACACAAGAAAATATCTCGATACAGGCAAACAAACCAAAGATGATACAATACACTAGAAAGTATCTCGATACAGGCAAACAAACAAAAGATGATACAATACACAAGAAAATATCCCGAAACAGGCAAACAAACAAAAGATGATACCATACACAAGAAAATACCCCGATACAGGCAAACAATCAAAAGATGATACAATACACAAGAAAATATCACGATACAGACAAACAAACAAAAGATGATACAATACACAAGAAGATATCCCGATACAGGCAAACAAACAAACGCTGATACAAGCAAACAAACAAAAGATGATACAAAACACAAGAAAATATCTCGATACAGGCAAACAAACCAAAGATGATACAATACACTAGAAAGTATCTTGATACAGGCAAACAAACAAAAGATGATACAATACACAAGAAAGTATCCCGATGCAGGCAAACAAACAAAAGATGATACAATACACAAGAAAATATCACGATACAATATATCTTTGACGCCCTAATCTCCAGTGTAGTACCTGTGATAAGCTTCGGTTTGACTTCAAATGATGTGCACTATGTGTCAGACCTCTATAAAAAGTCTTAAAGTTGCCACTGGCATCAATAAATCGTTGAAGCTTGAAGTTTCCATTATACTCTACCTTTCTGTTCGTAGAATCTGCGGACTGCCGCTCAGTCCAAAGACCAGGAGTTGACGCGCGGAAACCTGGCTTTGAGTCGCAATGTGACCAGCAATTACCCTGTCCGAGTGATCCGAGGATACAAACTCAAAAGTCCCTTTGCCCCCGAGGAGGGATACAGATACGATGGTGGGTACTTGTCAACAGAGGAACCATTATAGACATATGGCAAATATATTTTGCATACAACGTCTGCTTATCAATCTGATGATTTGTAATATTGAAACTAGGGCCACTTCCATTCCTTGCGATCCAAACAGTTTAATCTGTTGGACCAGAGTTGTTTGTTAATAAATAAGAACGGACCTAGTAATCTGATGCTGGTATCAGGTGAGCTTTGACAAAGCCTTGCAAGCAAGGCCTGCATAAACATTTACAGGTCTGCCAGGTTTTAAATCGGAAACTGTTGCAATTAAAAATAGACAAACTGATTGTTCCATGTAAACGAACAGGCCCCTGCTATGAGAGTTGTCAAGCAAAAATTCATGCTGTATATTTTTTTTAATATCCAGAATTTTGAAAGACTTTTTGCTGCTAAATTTTTGAACAATTTCCTAACCTAACATCATGTACTTTAAAGAAATGATATCCGATATATAGATGTAAACCCAAGGTGTAAGCTGTATGCTAAGGCCAACTCTTTTGATAGGTATGTACCAGGTGGAGAAGGCGTGGTGCTGTAGCGGTCTCTCTGGGTTTCTTGTATGGAAGTTTGCAATGAAGCGATGCCCCGGTCAGGCCCCGCCTCCTTGGACAATCTTGAATGTAAGTATCGAGGTAAAATATTGACAAGCCAACTTTACTCCACCTTCAAAGATCAAATTAGTGCATGAACTTCAGTAAAATTGTCTTAACTTTTAAACTGTTAGTCATCTTGATGAAACCTGAAGTATTCCTGCATCATTTGGATTAAGGGCATTGTAATTCCACCTCTAGGTGAAAGGTCAAATAAGTTCAAAGGAAATTTGCATAAAATTTGCATATTGGTTATTCATGGGCGACATGGTTTTGTTAACAAAACAAATCTTAAATCTGATATAGAGGTGAAAGGTCAAATAAGTTAAAAGAAAAGTTGCATATTGGCTATCAATAGGTGACATGTTTCTGTTAACAAAACAAATATCAAATTATCTTAAATCTATCTAGAGGTGAAAGGTCAAATAAGTTCAAAGCTAAAAGAGGTGTTTATATGTCATCCCACCCCTCAATAGCCAATATGCAAATTTTCAAAAAATCAAATCAAATCTTAAATCTATTTCATGTTTTCACATCTTTAGGCAGCAAGTCCTTCCAAGGAGAGTGTTATGTCGGACAAATCCTCAGATGTGGGCAAGAGTGATTCAGGATTTGACTCGGACGAAACTGGCAGCCATTTTGGATCACAGGAATCATCCAACATCAGTTGTCAAGGAAGTGAAGACGATCAATCGGTCAAATCAGATGTCGATGATCACGAAGAAAATGAAACCATACAACCAGAGGAAAAGGTAGAAGTGAATTCAGAAGATAAAGAGACAAAAACGGAGAAAGAAGAGAAAAAGAACGAAACAGACATCACTGAGGTGAAACCAGAAACCGAGATGGAAGAGGAAAAATCGGACGAAGCTGAAGATCATCTGGATGATAAGGAAACAAATTCAGAAAGATAAGAAAGAGGACACTGTCAACAAAAAATTGTATGTTAAATGAGACAAATGTGAAAATGAAGGGTGGGGGGACTGTTTAAACTCAGTACTTGATATTCAATAGAGATTCAATTGGAAAAAAGTCTGGAGGAGGGGTTACCTGACATCTATGTTTAGAACAGCTTGTGAAATTGATTATAACAAATCCAATTCTCCTGAATCTTGAATTTGACATTTACTAGATTTAATTGATGACATTGTTTTATATTGAAGTTACTTGTTTAAATTGATGTAGATTGAATTGATGTATTCAGTTACCAGCTGTATATAATGATATAAAGGATGGTGAATTCAGTCAAGTAAATCATAATCATGACAGACCAGAAATATTGGGTATAAAAGCTCTAGTAATTGGCACTCATCTGAATGCAGCGACTCAGTCTTACTTGCTCCTGAGTGAAGGACTAGTGTAAGTGTACACTCATCCTTTTTTTATTTTATTTTATTTTATTTTTTTAATTTCGTCCTTGACAATTAACATGCTATATGTATAAAAGGTATAGTTTCTGTATTGGAAAGTGTATGTGATGTTCATGTATGTGAACACTGAATATTAATCTGATTGGCCATCACTTACTGTGAAATCAGATATATTCGTCGGACCCTTTCATTTGGTTTCCCGACAAAACACCAGTTTGTTGTTGGTACATGAAGTCATAGATTACGATTACCCGCTCTTACATAGAATTACTTTATATTGAATTTGTAATAAATGACCTATGAATTTGTGAATGAAGATTAATTACGAAATCAATGAAATTAAAAACTCCACGAAAATTACTGATTTCAAAGTTACTGTTTGTAATCTTATTTCAAACTTTGGTTCAATCAGTCAGGAATAAAGTATGTGTTTTACACAATACTAACAGGATCACATGGGCCAGTGATATGTGTTATACACAGTTTAACTAATTAGAGTCGTCAACCCATTTCCCCTAAAGTCATATTTGAACCTTACCAAATCAAAGACTGGGCAAGTCCAATTAAAATCTACAGGGGTGAATGAGTTGAAAGGGACAGGCCTTATGATCTGTGGACTAGATAGCTTTTAGTCAAAGCCTTATTTACCCTGAGGTCATTTTCTGCAAAGCCTTGACAAAAATTCCAAGTTCTTAAAAGGATCTGCTAGGTTGTATCCGAAAAACTGATGCATTTAGAAATAAACAAACTGGTTGTTCACTGTATTTTGTATGAAAATGTCCCTGTTAACGTTGAGTTCAATTAATATTTTTGGTACCAAAAAACTTAACTGTTTGTTAATATTTCCTTTCTATTGAAAATGTTTTCACTATAAATGAGATTCATCTGTTAGCCCGTTTTGCTGTACATATAGAATGTAACACAACTTTTTTTTATTTTCTTAATATGAATTACATGTTCCACTTTAACTTGTAGAAAAAATATTGAACTGCATTTATTACATAACTCCCTATCATATTCAATTTGCATATCATTGTTACCACATAGCTACAGTCCCTAAGTTTTTATGAAGAATTTCCGAACTGTATTTTACTACTAGCTTATCTCCCCCTAGTTCAGAACTTAGAATAACACATCCTAGTGATAAAAATTATCAGATTTTTTTTCTTTTCTAAATAGTTAAATATTCTAAATGGCCAGTCCATTATCACAGCTTCACTCATATTTCAATTAAATGCAGATATTGTAACTTCACGGAGGTCAGCTTAAAATAGATGGTTTTCCAAACTGGAGGTGGATGTCATTTTCATTCTCCCAATATCATTATCATTCATCCATCACTGACGGTTGGTAGTTACAAATCTTCCAGAGTCATTATTCATTACATAATCCATGATGTTGTTATTTTTCAAGTTAAACTATGAATTTTATGGGTGCTCCCTGGTATCGCTATAAATGTATAATGTTATGGTGCTCCGTTATTTTGCCATCACAGAGAATTCCAAAATTGTTTATTTTGTTATTAACACAATTAGTTTTTCTTAAACAAATTTACCCTGGCAAGTCAAATTTGTTTTCACAGCAGAACAGTTGAATTTTTGTTTTTGTAGTTTGTTTTAAAAATAAAGATGTTTATATATTAATTTTATTCAAATCTTGTGTCTTCTTTTCTTTATAGGTCTTCTGGTTGTGTTACGTTGTCAATGAATTGTATTTGAACAAAGACCTAAATTACTTTCAAATCAAGGGAAATACGGTTTTTCAAGTGGCTAAAGTATACACATAAATGTAACAATACATAATATATGCCTGTAATACTTTGGAATATTTAAAATAAACATTTCCAAAAAAAACTAAAAGGGCTCCTGAGAAAAGATTCTAAATATACTGAAACAAGGACATACGTAGTCATTCAAATCTCCTGCTGAGGGAAATATGAAAGACAGTCCAAAGGACTAGAGGTGTTAAGGGATTTTGACTTAGTTGTTATATTTGGAATAAATGAGGTATGCAAATATGAACTTTCAAATTCAATCAACAACTATAGTTTAGGATAGTGGCATTACAAAGAGAGACATGAACCCACATTTTCATAATAAAATGACTGGATATTGTCTGAAGTGCAGTATTTGATTGAAAATTTGCCCTTTTGAAGGTAATTAAGTCCCCCAAACGAAGTTTGGTGACTTACTGTTTTTACTCCGATTCTTATTATTTTTATTCTTCTTCTTCTTCTTTTCCGCTTTCTGCCTTAAAGGTTTCTGACACTTTTCTCAGAAACCATTGGTCAGATCTTCATCAAACTTTGAGGGATTATTACTTGTTCCCCCCCCC